ATATAGAACAGTGCTCTGATAGAGCAGTTACAATTCTTGTATTATTGTGTATGTAATTTGTTCAAAGGCGGTATGTGAATGGGGTCGCGAGTCTCTCGAGTCGTGGGGCAGACGGAAGCGTTCGCTGCCTCGCAACGAGACCGGCGACATGCACAGCCAGGAAGAAGATATGAATATCTCTCAGGAGATCATCGTATTAGATTTTGGTGACGAGAGACAGAGCACTGACTTCCTCAGGTCTGATAAACCTGGAGGCACTGCTTCGGAGGCCAACTTTGGCGGTAAGTACGAGCATATAAAAGGTTCTTGTTAAGTTCCTTGTGTAGGGGAAACAGAATAAGTAATATTTGAGAAATAAGTATTCACAGATATTTATCAAAAATAATAAACTTTGAGACATGAAACGAAACTATTTATAAGCGACTTCAAAAAAAGCAGGAGGTTCTCAAGTCGATTGTACTTTATTACTGCGAACTGATTTTGATGTTTTTTTGTACGAAACAGGGTACCTGAGTATTGATCTTTAAATTTGAAGAAAATATTCCACCAGTAAGGGTGGCAAGTTAGGGTATGAATCCGGTTTCGCGCACTTTCCGGTAACCGATTTCAATAAAACTTGGCAAATAGATGTGATTCCACGAGCTTTCGAGTTTGTTTTTTTTTTATAAAAAAGTTATTTCGGATCTAAATCACGTATATTTGTTTCTTCAAACAGACCAACGTTTTGGGGCTCTTTACTGGTCCCATGGTCATGGCTGACTGGCATGGTCACATGGGACCTGTGAAGGGAAGGGTCCGAAACGTTGGTATTACTCTTACGTAAGTTGTTGTAAGTGAAATAACCATTTTTCGCTTTTTAACTTAAATATGTATATCCTTTTTTCATGTATATTATATGTTCCATGTTTGAAAGTACACATAACAACTAAGTGATTTACTTAGTTAAAACTTACAACAACTTTATTGTGGGAGACATCGACAAATATACGCGATTTATATACGAAAGACAAAATAGTTTCATTTCCTGTCTTTAACAATCACAAAAACCTAAGAAGTCGATAAAATTTGAGATTTCGATTTTCAAGTATATATAGCACTTTAAACTCACATAAATAAATATATTATTATTTAAATTTAGAGTAGGGCGAAGCTATTCACAAATACCTCCTTCGATGAAAAATGTAAATACTTTATAGTCAGGGTCAGTGTTTTCATGATGTCGCCATCTCTGAGCTTCTGGGTTCGATTCTCGACCGGGTGAGTGTAGAAATACTAACTTTTCTATGTTGTTTCATATCTGGGTGTTAGTGATAACGATGATGTTTCCGATTTCCATAACACAGTGCTTTAGTTACTTACTTTGGGATCAGAGCAACGTATGCGATAAATAATCAAAGACAATGTCAAATACATTGCTCCAATTCCAAAGTAAGTAACTGCACTTGTGTTATGGAAATCGGAAACAACGAAGGTACCACAAACACCCTGACCCGAGATAATATAGAAAAGTTTCGTACATTGTCGCTGCCGGGGATCGAACCCGAGTCCTCAGAGGTGGCGACACCTTGAAAACCGATGTGCAAGCCACTTGACCACGGAGGTGGTCAAATGTCATATTTTATAATATTTATTCATTTATTATTAAATTAATTTTTGAAATTATCTTGGAATAAATATCTTATCCATATAATGTGCAAACTCTCTAACAATAATTGTAAGCATGTAAAAATTTCCACGACCCATGTCTCTATTCACACCTCGAGTCCTTTTTCACTCCGTTTATCTACAATCGTTTGGTTCAACAGAGAAAACGGTGACAATAGTAGAACCGTGTCCGAGTAAGGCTTCAGTACTGCTTCTGGGAGTAGCGTGTGCTCTGCTAGTGCTGCTCTACATCGCTACAATCTTCTGCTACTACATGCGCAAGTGGCTTACACCACCGAAACACCTCTCGTAACACCTTTTGCGACTCATGCTAGAGGCTACATCGTGGGGTATACATGTGTCAATCCACATTTAAGAGGTTCCTTTTGGGCAGGATTTTAAAGATAAGATTAATTCTTGTACCAAATTTTATGTTTCAAAAGGGCAAGCGAATCAAAACCTGACCAAAGTTCCTTTATCTGCGGATTGACACAAATGGCAAAATAGCGAAAGTGTCCAAGCATTTGGACACTCATTTGGGCAGTAAATATTGCCCTCTTGTGATTTTTACAACATCATCTGTCATAGAAATAAACAGCATTTATATTTTATAACCAGTCAACCGTTCTTTATGTCCATCCGTAGCCATTTTTAACGACTTTTTTCGCTATAAAATACACTTAAGTAATGAAAGTGCCTATAGAAAATGTTCCAATGTAATCTTTGGAAATTGTGATACTTGTACGACTGAATCAAAATTCCATATTATGAGTACATTGCAGTGACCAGCTACGAGCCGTCCTATAGATAATTATAATAATAACTTTATATAGTATCAGAAAATGTTTTTAATAAAATTAAAAAATAACTATAGCGATAGCGGTATGACTGAACAATTATTTATACTAATGTTTTTAAACATTGTAACCACCGCGTCTTTTGCATTTATTGTAGTGCATTTTTTTGCATATAAAGAAGCATTTACTAATTTTAAGTAGATTTAGAATAGAAGTAAATTAGCTTTGTTCTAACAAAAATAGTACATTTTTCATTTATACAAAATAGCAAACAACTTACAGAAATAGATAAAAAATACAGGTTTATTCAGTATTACTGCTATAACTTAATTTTTAAAACCTTTTTTGCATTCAATTTACGAGTTTAAATACTGGGGCGTAATCAAAGTCTGTTTTTGTATTTATTTACGGTATTTTTTTTTAATTTACCATAATTTTGTACACTTTGCCGCAATAATCATCATGTTAAATATTTAATGAATATTATCTTATTTTAATCAAGTATATAGTTAAATTAGTAAAATTGATAGGTGAGACCATCTTAACAATTATTTGGAATAATCCCCAGAAATAAGGATGGGAAGAAATTATGTGAAACTTTTGAAAAACCAAAATATTATTTTGTGGGCTTATTCTGACTTCAACAGTTTTGGTTTTTGAGTTAAGTAGTATACTAATTTAGGGAGTTCAACTTTACGATGTAAGCAGTTAATCAATTTCGTTAAGATACTTATTATTAGCACAAATAATTATGTAATAATTTCTAACTTCATTTTCATAAACGTACGAATCGATTGATAAGTTATTTGTAAATACTTTTAGAAAAATGTTCTATTTCATCCGTCTGTTGGCGCTGTCGTGATTTGAGGTTGAATCCCACTTGATCGCATCGAACCGCATAATGGAAATATCAACAAAAATGTGACTTTTTTTCGTACCTATCTTCTTCAACATAATGTGCGGTCGAGTGCAGCACACTTTTGTCAGGGATAGAGTGCGGTGAGCGCCCTTAAGTGAGGTTCTACCCTTACTCTAAGAACTTTCAGTTGGGTTTTGCGGAAACTTAGTTAAAAATAGTAGGTATTATATTATATTTATGAACTATTGTAATTGATACGATTTTTTGAACAGTCACATGTTTCCCTTAACCCAACTTGAGATTTCCATTGTATTTTTTTAGATTAAATTTACTATTAATACCTATTTATTTTTTCATGGAAATTTTATTATTTTAGGAACTAAATAAATGACTTGTATAATTTTTTTGTTTATTTATTTATTAAAGTATGCAACTATGTGACAACAAGATAGCCCATTTGATGACATTGTTAAGCACTGAAATTGTATAACGCCATTTCGATACCTCCAATGAACACACGCCATCTTGATTTTTAGGTAATGTCTGTTTTTATTTTGATGTTATACACAAAATTCGTTGTTTTGTGTTTTTTCAAATTTTGATTTTTTTTTGTTTCTTTATTGTTTTTCACAAAGCTCAGTGGCATAATATAAGTAAATAAAATAAAGCTAAATGAAAATATTGCTACCATGTTATTATTATTTATTTGTTATGATACCAAAATCAATAACAGACCTATTTCTGTCGCCAAGCTGTAACGTGAGCGTTAGTGTGTTCCGGGTTTGAAAGATAAGCTGGTGAAACTACAAGCACTTTATATCTTAGGGTGACAGTTCCCCGCAGGTCTAAGTGGCACAGCAACTGTTATGGATAGGCGTGTCGCTTACCACTATGCGCTCAACTTGTTCGTCCACTTGTTACTAATTGAGATTTGGCATATTTCGTGACTATATTAGGTTCGGAAAGCCTCTGCTTATCTTGCATTTATGGCCGTATCCTTGAAAGGATTTGTAATCTAAAACAAGACACAATTTACGATTGAATCATATTACAAATATGTATATATTTAATCATCATCAAACAAAACACGCACCAACTCGGGGCACGGGTTTCATCAAAGGAGATGGTTTATGGCATTGTTTACATTGGTTCAATGAAGGTTGGCGACACACACAGACAGCTTCGAAGGGTAACGTTATAATTTAATAGTAATATGCTGTTAAACACGGTTAACTATAGCTAATTAGAAACATGATTTATAAAATTTTGTTCTCCGAAAAACCTTTTGGCGATTATTAACCAGTTTTATTTTTTAACCGCCTCCGTGGCCGAACGGTTATCATGCTGGACTCCCACATACAGAGGTCCCGGGTTCGATTCCCGGGCCGGGAGAAATATTTGAATGGCCTATATTTATTTCGCCCGGTCCTCAGCGCGTTGCATCCATCTGCTGCCAGCAGCCCTTCATAAATTCTCACTCCATCTGGCCTTAGGGGTCCTACACTACGTTTGCCGAGCCGTGGTTTCCACTCAAGAACTCGTTTCCTGAGTTGGTTATCGATTCTTCGACAGATACGGCCAGCCCGCTGCCATTTCTTATTCCACCAGCTATTTCGACGACTTTAGTTCTCTGTCGAATAATCTCGTTCCGTACCTTGTCCTTCAAAGAAACTCCGAGCATAGCTTGTTCCATAGCTCGCAGAGCGATCTTCAACTGGTGAACTAACCGTATCGTGAGCGTCCACGTCTCTGCTCCAAATGTCATAACAGGTGGAACGCACTGATTGAAAAGATTTGTTTTCAAACTTTGCGGTATGGCTGATGAGAAGACTCGACGTAGTTTTCCAAACGCTGCCCAGCCAAGCTGAATCCTACGCGAACCCAGCGGAGGTCAAATTGTGCAAAATAGCCGCGCTTGTGTCGGATAATATTTTCATTATTCCCATTTTCCCAATTCTTTTTTATGATATCAATTATAAAAAAATGATAAAATAAATACCACAAGCGCAACTACAGTCACAGACACCACCACTAAAAACACCCGACTCGTGTTTTACCTTTCTTCGAGGCATCCTCAGAGGTTGTTGATTGTTTAACACTCGGCCGAAGAATGAGCTCGCTCTGAACGGTTGGTCATATTTATCCATCGTTAAAATCTCTAAATACCCGCAATAACAGTGATGGCGCAACATTCAATTGTTCATTTGTTATATGTACATACTGCATTGTAGTATCTAATTGTTTCAATCTGTTCTAAATTAATTACCTGTTGTGTAAAGTATACTACGCTACGAAAGCTTTGACCTAGGTTATCCACTTCCAGATTTTGGACACGCTATTCGATTCCCATTGAAAAAAAACCTATAATTATGTTTCCAAAATTTTGGGATACAGCCTCACCAAGTTCTTTAACTATGCCAAATTTCATTATAATAATATGTAGTTTCTTAGAAATATAGATTATGGCATTCAGACGGACACCTAAGTCAATTTTTATTTCATTTGTCCCAATTATGTATGTATCTACATGTAGTATGTTACTGAAAGTACTTTAGTATGATATAAGAAAATGAATACGTACTATAATGATATGCGATTTTCGGTATTCGCTTAAATCTCATGACCCGACAGTTCATAAAGTCAATTTGACACGTGCTGTACACATCGTTGTATTCATTACTTATGTTGTCAAACATACACACTTCCCAATGGAGCGGACTGCAACATAAATGGTAAAATCTTATTTACGTAAGTTATTCACTTGTTTAAAAAGTTACTGAACTCATTACAGTGATTCTGATATCACGTCATAAATTCGAATAAATTGTGCAGAAAGTGATATATTAATTTCGTTGGTTATAGATATTCATATACAGGGTGTAAATTTGAGACGGGGCAGCAAGGCCAGCCACCTTAATCGTTGTAGTTACAGGAAAACGGTTCTAGAAGGCTATCCACGAATTTTGAAGACGTTTTGATTAGCATTCACAGATTTTGAAAAAATGGTACAGTTAGCAAGAAAAAAGGTAGTTTTTACAAAACTTAAATGCCATTCGATCCGGTCTCTGTTAAGGATCAATAGTCTCTATGGGACCAATTGAAGTAAGAGTACTAGAAATGTAAACTTTTTACCATACATTTTGTAGGGACATATTTAGTAATTAGTTATTCTTACTACATAGTTAATCTATCTGCCTAATGTCGTGGCCATATTAATTTTGTATGAAAGGGGACTTATATTATGGATGTGGATTATTTTGTACTCACGTATACAAATAGCATTTCACATATCTTGTTGAGCAGTCCAAATTTAGTCCACGTGTGTGCTTCTCAAGGAATTCATTGTAGTCTACTCCGTCAAACGTGTAACGTGCCCTTGTCGTTCGAGTTCTACGAGTTCTGCGGGTCGTAGTGATGGTGGTATCGTTGTCGATGGAGGGTTCAGTTGTTTTTTTTTGCGCTTCAGTGAATGGTACGTAAAGCTCTGAAAATATGAAATGCTGTATTTAATAGATTAAAGCAAATAGAATCGGGTAAATACGTAAACTTGGATACGAGGGAATACTAATGCAAGGTAGGTAGTACCTTTCTTATGCAACTGATCATGCGGTTGGTATAACAACAGAATTATAGAAAAATTTCGTGTCGTGTTCCTGTAACTCAATATAGAACGAATAAAATGCACTCTTTCTAGCTGTTATTACTTCTATTAACATAATGCATATATTTAGTTTAGGTAAGATACCGCTAGATGGCGTTGAACCTTTTATACAATTTTCTAAAATGTTCTATTAAGTTGTTCACGGAAATGATACTGTGGAGTGATTTACAAATAAAAACGTGCCATTGGAACATACAGGCTGTTTTATTTTTGGGGCACTAGCTATTCTCTAAGGATGTACCCAAAATATATGTTTTCCATTCTACATTTTTTATAACAAGTATAGGGTCATTTCTCCTAGAAGGGCTAAGTTCTCTGACTTCGGCGGTCGAATTTTTTTCTTAATTTCAGGAAAAACATTGAGCGAGAAGGAAAAAGAACTCAAACTTACATAAGATTCCGTTAATTGGGCAATTAGATTCTTAATAGTTAATGACAATATATTTGATCCACCGAATTCAGCTACCACCTAACTCTGAATAATTCTACAAAAGGTACAATTTTTGTATAAAATATTATGAAAAAGGCAATAAAAACATTCAGTAATCTACATAAACATTTACTTATTTTATATTTATTAAATCAAGCTTTAAAAACTAAAATTTATTCATAAATCGACCACAACAACGTAAACAAATTTACCTTATAACTATTAATTCAAGTCAGTTTTCAGTTTGGCAGTTCAACCTTTTTTCAATCACACAAAGTATTCCCGTACCTCTTTATAAAAAAAAAATTTAGAACGCAAGCCGTAGCTGCAAAAGCAATCAATTTTTTTTCATTACTTTTCATACATGATGAGGTAATTCATGCAATTTCAAAATCTTTCCTTCTGCTTTTTCTTCGCATACCCCTGTCTATCTTTTTCTTTAAACCTTTCGTACATAATTGAATCATTTTTTATTTTTGCTTTTCTAGCACGTTCCTTCATCTTCTTGATTTCTAATTTTTCTTTTCTGTTTTGATTTTCCTTATTCATTTTCACCGGGAAGCAAATAGTCATATAAAATTGTGAAAATCAATAATATTAACTAAATATTTATATGAAAAACCCGTATAAAATTCTTGCTTTTCAAAGAAAATATGGCGTCGATGGCAGTTTTTTCCGAATTCGGTGGGAGCTTTTCTGAATGCGGTGGTATAAAATCCACCGAAACCAAGGCCACGGGATTCAGAAAATATATATTTTTTTAGATTACTCGTAAACGACAATACTTGTAAAACCAATAAATTGTTATTATATTCTAGTTGGTACAACATATACTATAAAAAATATGACATACAACCATAATATTCAGTTTTTGAAATATCGTATACAACGTTGAATTCGTTGTATATCAACCTGGACCAAATCCACCGAATTAGATATTTACACGCGAAAAGTCCTAAAATCAGCAACAAATCATCCACTGGTCTCTTCAGCCGCAGAGGCGTGATGGACGAATAGTACGAACGAATTGCGAAGCTTCTAAAATGCTTCACTTGTGATGTGTAAACGTGATTAGTAACAACCACAGAATTCTCGCCTAAGTCTGGGACACGCACCAGTCTTGTTATTGTGATAAAACTATTGTCTAGTTTATTGTGAAATTCAAATTATAAGTACTATCATCAAATTTATTATACGCGAACTAAAGTCTAATATTGATATACAGTTTCAATTTTGAGAAAAATGTATTGTTATTTTTCTCATGCCACTGTTGTCAGGCTTTAGGCATTTCGGTTTTTTTTTCCATTAGGTCCGAAAGGTTTGTTGAGAAGATTTTGTGCTCTCTAGTTAGCTTTCGACCCATATTATACACTGTATTTTTTGTACATTTTTATTTTGATAAATAAGTGGAGTTTAGTACACGGACACAGAAAATTGCAGCTTTGAAGAAATGCCCATAGACATGTTATTTCTTCGACATCCATTTTAAAAATGAGCTGTTTGTATGTAGAATAAAGTCGCGGGCGACCAGTCGATTTAGCCGCTAAGTCTGCGATCGCTCGCAAATAGTTGCTTAGTGGAAAATAGCTCTTAGATTATTTAAGGTAGTTGTATGTACGTCGACGGTATCCTAGAATTACCATACTCAGCTTTCCTAAACAGAAAGACAAGGGCACTAGGACTTCACGGATTTAGAGTTTCCATAATGATGCTGTTCGGATTATAGTACTTATTAGGTATTAACATTGGTAAAATATTATCGAAAATGAAAATACAACATTTGTTCTGTGTCTGAATGGAATAAAATATTTTTGTATAATATATCTATTTCAAGGGTCACCTACTATTGTGAGCATTACTGCGTTCCGTTTCTGAAAGGAAAAGTGCTAAAAACTGTGAAACTTTATAGGGTAGCGGGCGCAGTGGCAGTGCCCCGCAGGTCTTTGCGATTTAAAGCTCTAAGCGGCACTGCAACTGTAATGGATAGGCATGTCTTTTACCCCCAGGCATACGACTTGTTCATCCCGCCACTTGATCTCATATAGAAAAGTAACAATTTCATCAAAGTATTTGATGAGTTTTTTATTTGTACCCATAAATATAGGATTTGTATTTTTAATATTATACTAATTTATATCTTGATATGATTATAGACACTGTAGTGTAAATACAAACGACTCATTCTAAACATAATTTTAATAAGTACATCCTACATTTCATAGCTACATTTATTACATAATTGTGAGTCTGTAAAACCTTTTTTTTATGATACCAAGTGAGGGACGAACAAGTCGTGCGCCTGGTGTTAACCGACATGACTGTTCATAGTAGTTGCAGTACCACTTCTTCTAAATCGCAAAGGTCGGAGTCTGAAGGACACTGCCAATGCGCTTGTCACCCTGAGACATAAGTTGGCAAGGCCTATGTGCCTGTAATTGCACTGGCACCTTAACCCTTTAAAACTGGAACCTTAATACTCATTCTATTGCTTGGCGGCAGATATGGGCAAGTTGGCATTATTTCTCGCGAACTATTTCACGAGAAACTCTATTGCTACTATTTTGATCACAGTAGTACTTACCATAAATTAGAGCGAAGATTAAAACGAAAAGTGATAAAGAAGATTTCATTTCTCATGCGAGTGTTTTCAGGAAATATGACTTTTCTTCTGCAGAGCAGTGTAGTATCAGTGTGTAGTTCATAATCGAAATCAGTCATTACAGTTGGTAATTAACGTTACATACACACGATTTAAGATTGCACGATCAGGGATGCTATTTAAAACGTTAATTACTCCGTTCATATTTAAGACCCTGATAAATACAGTTGTAATATCCATTGCAAAAGGAACGTTATCCTTTATTTCTGTCATATAATTATTCATCACTCTTCGCTGCTGTATCCTGTAGGATACCGATAAGTAGGCAACTTACAGCGGTGATCAAGGCTCTATCTATCTTCGCTTCTACTAAACCCAAGTAATTTGTAAGAGTGGTTACATACGGCGATTTTAGCAGCGATACAAACGCGCGACTGCATATATGCAGTCTTTTATGTTGAATCACTAAAAACGTGCATCGCGATTGTATCGCTGCGTAAGTCGCGCGGGTGTGTAAAGATAGACGATAAGTGACTGCACCACTACTACATCGCGACGGAATCGCTGCAGTCACTATGCTAAAAGTCGCGTGTTAGCGCTCTAAACCTTTTAGCTCGATTGACTGACTAAATTCAAGGCGACCATTGGTTTTTGGCAGCATCACTCCATACACGACTGGACTTATGCTTGGTTGAAGCAACTGTACCGGCGTGAAGTAACGTTTTCATAATAACATAATACATATCTTTTTGGTGTAAAATGTTTAAATTATAAAAATTTTAAACATTTAAATGCCGTAGCCCTTATATCTTTCCAAGGACTGTAATATTATGCTTAAGTTCCCATAATATCCAATTTTTTTTAAATAACTCTACAAGTTTGTTATAATATTATTAATAAAAATATTACAAACAAAGAAAAAATCTTTAGCCGCGGTATGGCGAGGTTTTTGTTCACCCAATCGATTGCCCCAAAGTGATGCTATGGAGAATCGAACCCACATCCTCATCTATCGCCCATTGTGCAAACCATTTGACTACCGAGGTCGTCAAATAAAAACGTTAGGTAAGTGACAAGCTAATATAATAAATTTATGGTGTAAGTTTTATCAGTACAATGTATCGAGTTCTTAGGTATTCGCGATTGTTACACGTAGGAATGAAACTATTTTTCCGGATTTAAATCGCGTATATTTGTTTTTTCAAACAAACCGACGTTTCGGGCCCTTTACAGGTCCCATGGTCACGGTTGACCAATACAATGTACAATGTATTTTATTAATATAATACACTAACTGTAAATGCGTTGCAATACCACTGAAACAATGTGGAATCCCCAATTCACATTGGGTCAACGTGGTGGATAATAGCCTTAACCTTCTCCCTTGAGGAGATATCCTGAATGGTGGGAGATAATATTTTTCGCAATCTGATGAATATTATTATTATTTCATTGGAGTGCCACAAAGGTGTCACACATAATTTTTTATGTAATATGTAAGTTTTCTGCAACAGTTTAATTTTTCTGACATTTTTTTCTTCAAAAGTATAATTTTCTAACAATTTTTCGCGGGAAATCGTTATGGTGGCCATTTTGAAACTCTTGACTTATCAACGGGGGAAGTTGAATCAGGAGAATATAACCACTGTGATGTCGAATTATATAGTAGCTGTAAAATAGTCATAGAACTTTTTTTAATAATAAGGTAGCACCAGCCTGCATCACAAGAACCTACAAGTTGCTGTCAGCCAACAAACCTTGTCAATTTTTTTCAAACAATAGGTTGCAACATATTTTTGTATACTTGATCCTATAGTTAAATCTTTTGTATTGTTTCAAATATACACATTAATCTGTAAAAAAATATTAGTATATAATTACTTGTTTGTTTAATAAAATA